TCTGACCTAGTTTTGTAAAACAGACCTAAATGTATGATAGAAATGAATATTGGGTATTATAGATTACAGAGAGTGTGTAACTCTTCCTTCAGCCGATACTTGATTAGATATGCTAAGAGGGGAACCAGGATTTGCCCGAGGGAGACACAGGCTGTTGGTCTGCATGCAGTAGCACTGTGTATAGGGTGGGGACTTAGGTAGAAAACCAGAGCCCCAACCATGGAAAAGACGTGCAGAACCACCTAGAACTACTGAGAGAACAGAAGATTTACATTTGAAGAAAGGACATGCAGAAAAAAAAAAAGACTGTTTTGCTTTTTGAGTTTCCAGCAAGGGGTTTACTGTTGTATGTTTCTAGGCAGGAAAAGTCAGTGTCCATCAGAAGGAGCCCCCTTCCAGGACCGGAAGTTAAAGGGAGCCAGCCAGGAGACAGCCTGGTCTGCTCGCTTGTGACCACCTGGGTTCACACATAAGTGGAAGTGGGGGAAGTGTTGTGATGAAGAGACTGGCTGAGTTTGGACATGTTCCATTGGCACTCACTGACCTAGTGTATGGTGGCTAGGGATGAGAGAGAGGAAGGGCTGGCTGGGCAGAAGTAGAAAGGAGTTGTGTGCACTCCTGAGTTTACAGGTGGAACCCACTGACATAGCCTAAGGGAGGTGGGGATGAGAGTGTATGAAGGGGCTGTCTGAAGTGCTGGGAGGTGTGTGTGAACCCTCGAGACTAAGGCTGCTACCCATTGTGACCTAGCTTGGATGACTAGGGATGAGCCAACCAGAGCACAGCTGAATGAAGAGAAAGATGTTTAACACCATGAGCTGGTGTAGATTGCCGCAATTTGATGGCTTGCTCTGGACTGGACTTTACTTATGGATGCAGATGTTCAAAGTTCTAACCAGAAGAGAAGATTCTTTAAGACCAAGGAACATACTTGTTTCCTCAGAGTACTAGTTTGACAGGGACAGGCAACTTAAACATTGGCTATCTAAAACGGCGGGAAATAAAAGGCATGAAGTAGCTGGCTTACAGGCAAAATGAGGGAGACAATGGTGGATCCACACTGAATAGACTCCCCTTTTCCTAATGAGTCTGGGGAAGAGAGAGTAGCAGAGATTTGGATAGGATTATATGATTCAGCTGTGAGTGTTGATTGTTAACAGGGTTAATTGTGATTATAAACACTGTAATCGTAGAAGCAGTAACTATGAAAAAGTGGACTAAGGGGGAGGCACTGCTGGACTGGAGTATAGTGGCCGAACTTAAAGTCCCTTAAAGGTTTTGCTATGCTGATACCTCATGAGGCTCAGAGCAAGGGAATAATCTTCTCGCAGTTAGATTTTATCAGATGCCAGGAGGGGTGAAGTCGAGAATGATACTGGAGAACCTGAGCAGATCACATGGACACCTGTAGCAGACCTGAACGCTGCTGCTGAGTGATCTCACCCTGTAGGCCTCTGTAAGCCTACCACAGGGCTAATTGTTGACGGCTGTTCTGAACTCATCAGATAATGGAGCAGGAACTGGAGCAAGGGAGAGTGAAGAAAACCAAAGACACAAGGGAAAGAGCAGTCCAAAGGACTAACGGACCCCAACTACCACAGCCTCTACCAGACCGAGTCCAGCACAACTAAATGGTGCCCAGCTACTACCACTGACTGCTCTGACAGGGATCACAACAGAGAGTCCCAGATAGAGCTGGAGAAAAATGTAGAACAAAATTCTAACTCACAAAAAAAGACCAGACTTACTGGCCTGACAGAGACTGGAGAAACCCCGAGTATGGCCCCCGGACAGTCTTTTAGCTCAGTAATGAAGTCACTCCTGAGGTTCACTCTTCAGTCAAGGACTGGACAGGTCCATAAAACAAAACAAGAAGTAAAGGGGCACACCAGCCCAGGGGCAAGAACAAGAAGGCAGGAGAGAACAGGAAAGCTGATAATGGGGAACCTACGGTTGAAAAGGGGAGAGTGTTGACATGCTGTGAGGTTGGCAACTAATGTCATAAAACAATATATATATTAACTTTTGAATTAGAAGCTAGTTTGCTCTGTAAACAGTCATCTAAAGAACAATTTAAAAAAAAAAAAAACTTCCCCCCAAAAAAAAAGATTGCTGGGGGCAGGGAGGTGGGTAGTTATCCTCCAAGTATAAAAGAACCATGGCTAGAAAAGCCAGGGGGTGGTCTGTGGTGCGAGGGATCGCTTTTGTGTGGCCTTTCTCCCCATGGTCTTGTAACTCCCACCCAAGTGATTGGGTGGGACTCTGCAAATAGGGTAATTGTGGTCCACCAAGGAGATTGGTCAGTTTTGCCATCCTGCTGGGCTTGAAATGAACCATCTCAGAGACGGGAAGGAGAGGATCCCACCACCACCAAGGAAGAAGAGCCAAGAGCAGAGCATGTCCTTTGGTGTTGGGATCCCTGTGCTGAGAAGCTCCTGGAACCAGGAGACAGAGAGAGAGATGTATAACACTGAAGATGGCAAGAAGATTTGGCAGAGAAATGGTTGCAAGTAAGACAGGCAGAAGACAGTATGGTGGGCTTCCAGGCCCACAGAGTGAGAAAGCTGAGTGCCTTTGGGTAGGAGGCTTGCTGGCAGAGTAGGGTGCCTCTAGGCACTTGGTGAAGCTAGGTTTGCCCACCCATGGAGCTAGAGCAGAATGCCTTCGGGTCAAGGTTTATTGGTGGAGTGCAGTGCCTCTGGGCACTTATTGACAGAGCTCAAAACACTTTGTAACACTTGCCTGAGGAGGGCAGAGGCTGAGGGGCCAGAGAGAGGAGTGCCACAGGGCTGGGAAGAGGCTGTTGTGATGGAAGAACTGTATCCCGAATGTTCCTGAACCTGAATCGTAACCCGTTACTTCCTCAATAAACCTCATAATGGTAAGAATTGTCTGTGAGTTCTGTGTGGCCACTGAAATGAATTATTGAACCCAGCAGAAAAGTAGAGAGCGCCGTTGGAGGGATGGTGGGTGTCAGAATGGATAAAGACGGTAGAGAAAGGAGGCATGTCTGACCTCTGCCTTATTGCAATCAGCCTAGGACTGCTGATCCCGATTGTTCTTCCCCCTTGTGAAGTTACAGGAGGTCAGACTTCACCCCTGCACAGTTTTTACAAGGTCAAAATTAACTGGAGTTTGGTAGAAGTTGACTCTAACCCTTATGGATGACTTTGGAGGAAGTAACTGCAGATGTGGTGGAACTAGCAAGAGAACTAGAATTTGATGTGGATCTTGAAGATGTGACTGCATTGCTGCAATCTCATGGTAAAACTTGAATGGATGAGGAGTTGCTTCCTATGGACGAGCAAAGAAAGTGGTTTCTTGAGATGGTATCTACTCCTGGTGGAGATGCTGTGAACATTGTTGAAATGACAACACAGGATTTAGAATATACATAAACTTAGTTGCATAACTAATGTAACTTATGTAAGAATATTACATAAACTTAGTTGAGTGGCAGGGTTTGCAAGGATTGACTCCAATTTTGAAAGAAGTTCTACTGTGGGTAAAATGCTATTGAACAGCATCACATGCTATACAGAAATCTTTTGTGAAAGGAACAGTCAATCGATGGAGCAAACTTCATTGTTCTCTTACTTTAAGAAATTGCCACAGCCACCCCAGCCTTCAGCAACCACCACCCTGATCAGTCAGCAGCCATCACCATCAAGGCAAAACCCTTCACCAGCAGAAGGGTTATGACTCGCTGAAGACTCAGATGATGGTTAGCATTTTTCAGCAATAAAGTATTTTTTAATTAAGGTATGTACATGTTTTTTTGACATAATGCTATTGCACACGTAACAGATTAGTGTATAGTGTAAACATAACTTTTTATGCACCGGCAAACCAAAAAATTCATGTGACTTGCTTTATTGCAATATTTGCTTTATTGCTGTGTTCTTGAACTGGACCTGCACGCAGTATCTGTGAGGTATGCCTGTACTTTTTTTTTTTTTTTTTAGTTTTCATTATCATTGCCTTTTGTTATTAGTATCTTTATAAATCTGATCTTGATGTGTCTTTGGGGGCTGGAAACATTATATATAAGCTTAAAGACACAATGACATCAGCGAATTACATGCTGCAACATCGTATGTAGTACATATTACAATAGATGTACAAAAAAAAGTATGGTCTAAATGCAGTTCATTGTAACTCAAATATATCATTAAGTCAAGGACTATATGTATTTAGTTTAGTTTCTGAAACAGATTTTTACATGGTACCCTACATTTTCATCAAAAAATCCCAAACATTAATTAGCATCCCCAAAAGATACCCTATTTTTATCTTCTAACCTAAAAAAATATGTTTACATATTCCCCAAATGTTTTTTTTCAAATCTGTTTTTTCCCATTCATTCCCACTTGAGTCATAGAATGTGGTCAGAAGCATGCAAAAGACAAGGGGTTTTCAAATTGGTTTTTAAATAGTTAACAATGTGTATTTGGCATTTGGTTGGGTGATTTGTCCTTTAAGATGGAGACTGAGCCTATAAAAAATTCAAGTGGGATCTGAATATGGCAAAATGTATTTGCTTTTCTTAGATAAATCTGCTAGTCTGTGTGTGCTATAAAATGGCATTATCCCTCCATTCGGATCTGCACTTCCTACACAACATACGCCACTCTGCCTTCTCTTCACAGACTTCCCCATGCAGATAAAGTTAACAATCCCTCCCTCATTTGTAATCAAACCCAGGGTGAAATCATTAGTTTAGTCCCCGATTGTGGGTCATCTAAAAAGACTTCCAAGGTAAGATTCTTTCCAAAAGAGCATTTTACAATTAGCCAACACAAAATGTTGCTGCAGAGAATTTCCAAATTGGGTTTCTCAGAGCAAATTGTTAAGTAAAAGAGAAAGCCCAAACTCACAAACATTGAAGAAGGAAGAAAAACAATGGGATTTTGTATTTAAGAAAATCCAAAGGGGATGTGTGTAGAAGCACAGATGGTACAGACAAAGACTGGTCCCAGGTTAGGCACATTTGGACTTACCAGATTAAGCAATGTCAAGTACTTCCACTGTCCGCCATTTTGGAATAGTTTGGATTTCTGCCGTTCCCCTCCTGATTGGGAGATGTAATAATTGAGGAAAATATACCAGCTCATAACCAGGGAGTGGTATATGCAGGTAGAAGTCTTTGTCATGGCTAGCTCTGAGCAGGGAACTGTGAATGCTTCAGGTAACTCCCCTCTGGCGTCCTCTCCAAGGTCACAGCCGAAGTTCTACCACAGCCCGACAGCTGTAAAACACGTTCCTCAGGATCAGGCTGCTGGGGTTGTTCTTCTCTCATGGGCTCCTTTTCGGATCAAGTTGGGAGAGAGGATTGTTGCTGGTTTTCAGATGCCTGCCTTTAGCTGATGGCAGATAATCTTCAGATTAGCATGAATTTCAAAATTTAGGCTTTATCAGGGAGGAAGCCTTGCTGGACCTGCACTTTGCACCATTTGACGGGGGCAGGGGCATGGTTAGGTGACCTTATTACGAAACACCAACATCTAATGAAATACCGTCATGGAGGTATTCCTTTTTTTTTTTTTCTTTCTTTTGATTCAGGCAGAACAAGGAAGCTGTAATAATATCTCTTGAGAGAATGAGGAGCAGGGTGATAAATCAGAGGGGAGAAATTGCGGGTGTGTTTATGTGGAGAAGGAAGGTAAGCAGAAAGGAAAAGGGTGTTGTAATCTCACTCCTGAGATCTCCAAGACTATAAAATCTGAAACAACCTTTGATCCTCTCGAGGCAGCAGACCCAAGGGTTTTTTGTTTTTTTCTTTTTTGTATCTATAACGTTGGAGAACCAAGGGTTACCCAGGGCTATTTCAGACACTCCACTGGCATGGATATTTCTGGACCCTGGAAGGAAAGAAGCATAGGAAGAGGTCTGCACCTACACCCCAACATACCTGAGTTTAGACATCGCAGGGAGACAGTGAGGGCCTCTGCATTGCCTTGGAGAAGACCAGAATTGCCTAGGCTGGGGGGAATGTACAAAACTGGGCTCTGCCTCAAGCTCGACAGACGGGAACTGGGGGAGAGTTGGAAGTGTGATACCTTGTGACATCACCAGCTTGGTTCCCTGGGCAACTAACTCAGAGGGTTCTGAGCAAATCCCTAAGAGAAACGCTCCCCAATGCAGTTATGCAATACTGTGGTTAGTATTGTTTGATCACTTATCCGGGGCTTCAAAGTACTGGGAGAAAGAACTGCAGGCTGTACATGGGGGGAAAGCAAAAACCACCCCACCTCTTAAGTCAGCAGAGCCCAAACATAATGAGCGTAGACGGGAGGAGAAGAAAACTAGCCAGCAATGTAAGTCTGCATTTCAACCATTCTCAAAGGAGAGGGTGATCCAGGAAATGGGTGACATAAAACACAGTACAAAACTCCATGCCCTAGGTTAGCACAGCAAATAATAACAGGAGTTAATACTTTTATAGTATTTACTGTGTACTAGGTGTTGTTCCAAGTGATTTGAAAAATTTACGCATTTAAGGCCCTAACCATCACTATGTGGTGTGTATTATCATAACCCCATTTTCAGGTGAGGAAATCAAAGCCCAGGCTGCCAAGGGCATGTTCAACAACAAGTAAGAGGCAGAGCTCCAGTCTGCCCTCTTCACCGGTGTGCCTGACTGCCAAGAACCAATATCCAAAGGGAAAAATGTGGGCAAGAATTTCAAATTCTCATGGAATCTGGAATTTCTGGAGCCATGAGCCTGGATGAACCCCAGAACTATTGCCCTGGGATAATCTTTAAAACTTAAACAAAAAAATATCCCCTGAGGTCTTCTTTAAACCCAACAATAGCTTATCTAGTAAAGAATGTCGGCCTTGAGCATTTTGCTCTTATTTAAGAATTATCTATGTGGGATCAAACTGACAATAGCAACTCAAAAGGTTAGATAGGAAGCTTGGGGGCAGTGAGTTTATGTCAATGGGAGAGGAACAATCAGGAAAAGAAGTGTGAGAATGGTTGCACAATTTGAAGAATGTAATCAATGTCCCTGAATTGTACATGTAGAAACTGTTGAATCGGTGTATGTTTTGCTGTATATATTTTCAACAATGATAAAACATGCAATAAAAATAGCATGCTACACAATCAAAAAAAAAAAAAAAATCAGTGTTGGCTCTTCCACACACCCGACACTCCCTTTTCAATAGCTCTCCCCTCTCTGATGGGCTCCTTCTATTCCTCTATCCCTCCCATCAGAAAATTATCCCAGGAAAGAATCATGTATGTTTTGCAACTTGGTGTGCATATGCGTTGTTGTGCTGTGTCTCCCGGGGTGTTTTCTTTTTAAGCATCATCCCTTTAAACAAAAATCTCAAGCATGGTCTATATAGACGGAAGGATTGGAGGCAAGTGTGAGGAAGGAGGCAAAGGGAAGAACCCAGATCTTCCAAAATCTCTGTGCTCAAACCTTGAGATAGGTCCTTCCGTGACCTGGACTTTTTTTCCTGTATTAGTCTTGATGTCTACAAACAAGGCTTCTAAATATTGATACAATTATTTAAATTTATTTGTAAGAGATTCAGTGCTTGACACTGGAATGCAATTGTTAGCATTTTAATAGAAAATAACATGCAATATATGTATATGAGGATTTTTTTTTTATAGAAACTATGTAATTTCTTATCACCTTGAAAGCTAAGGTGCGCCTGACCCAAGCCGTGGTGTTTTCAATTGCCTCATACGCATGCGAAAGCTGGACAATGAGTAAGGAAGACCAAAGAACTGATGCCTTTGAATTATGATGTTGGCAAAGAATATTGAACATAACATGGACTGCCAAAAGAATAAACAAATCTGTCCTGGAAGAAGTACAGCCAGAATGCTCCTTAGAAGCCAGGATGGCAAGACTTCGTCTCACATCCTTCAGACATATTATCAGGGGGGGACCAGTCCCTGGAGAAGGACATCATGCTTGGTAAAGTAGAGGGTCAGCAAAAAAGAGGAAGACCCTCAATGGGATGGACTGACAGAATGGCTGCAACAACGGGCTCAAGCATAACAACAATTGTGAGGATGGCGCAGGACTGGGCATTGTTTTGTTCTGTTGTATGTAGGGTTGCTATGAGTTGGAACGGACTCGACGGTGCCTAACAACAACAATATGTAATTTCTTAATTTAATATCTATATTGTTTTCCATGAAAATGTCACCTAAAAGAAACTCTACACTGTGACCATATGCACATCATAAGTTGTATCCCTGGTTCTCTCTTCATTGTTAAGAATAACCAGATAAATTTTCATGAAGCCATTTGTCCATTTGTCCCCCCCCACCCCGAGACCTAGTGGTGCTCTGGGGAACAATGACAGTGTTACCACTTAGTTATACAATAATACAAACTAGTATATGCAGAGTCTCTGTTGGTCTTCCTTTCTCCTCTTTCCAAGTATTTGGAGGCCTCAGGTCAGATCCAGGAGAAGTGGGAGAGAACTGGTCACACACTTTAAAAAAAAAATAAAAAAGCTTGACAGAAACTCAATTTTTTTTCTATCACAGGAAATCTTAAAAATATGAAAATAAGCATATTTCATCGTTTTATTTGAACATTGCACAAATGATGGTTGATTTTTAAAGGTGACATTCTTTGAAACTCTTTGCCCTCTGGGCAGCTGGAACACCATTCTTTAACTTCACAAATATTTATTGAGCAACTACTATTTGCCAGGCATTTGTGAAGTCCTGGGGATTCTTGGGGATCTAATCCCTACCCTCATGCAGGGCACATTCTAGCAGGAGAGACAAACATTAAAGAATATCACAATCAGGTGTTAATTTATAATTATGGTGACTTCTGTGAAGGACAAGTACAGGGACTGTTAGAGGGGCCAGAGAAGCCTGCTCTGAGGTAGTCATGTCTGAGCAGGGCTGATCCTCCCAACAGTGCTCTAACGGTCCTTCTCAGTCTCCTTTGTGAGCTCCTCTTCTTCTACTAGCTTCTTATGTGTTGGTGTTTCCCAGAGACCTAGTCCAGCCCACTGCCCATCTCATGCTAATACTAACCCCAGTGTTTTAATCTACCATCATAGTTTCTATCACTGCCTTCCAGTTTATGATCACAAATTTTACACCTGCAGTCCAGGTCTCCTCCCCACCCTGCACCATGCCTCAAACATACCTTCTCCAAGCTTCTACCTACCTGTTGGCTATCTCCTGAATGAGTCAGAGACATCTATAAAATGAACGCATTAACTTCCCCCAAATCTGGCTTCCTTCTCTTGTGATAATGGTCTCGAGAGTTTTCCTTGTCTGCTCCCTCTCTGTCACTCCCAAATCTAATTAACTACCAAATCCTACCAAGTACATCTCCCAAACCCGGTTCAAATGCCCTCTTCTTTTTATCCCTTCGATAACTGCTCTAGTTCAAGTCTTCTTGGTCTCTTGCCAGTATCATAGCAAGAGTCTCCAAACTGGTTTTTCTGATTCTAGTCTTATCCTCCAAATCTAATCTGGATTAGTGCTGGTATTGTGGTACTCTTGATTATCTACCCAGGTTTATCGACTGTTGGGTTTCCTGATTATCACCACCTTGATTACTTAGTGCTATATGTTCCCTTGAGCCCTGGTGGCACAGTGGTTAAGAGTTTGTCTGCTAACCAAAAGGTCACCAGTTTGAATCCACCAGCTGCACCTTGGAAACCCTATGGGGCAGTTCTACTCTGTCCTATAAGGTCATATGAGTCAGAATTGACTCAGCGGCAATAGGTTTTACATGTTTCCTAGGAAACCTGCTGCCTCTTAACCAGTATCACTTCCCAACCTGTCTTAGTTATCTAGTGCTGCTATAACAGAAATACCACAAGTGGGTTGCTTTAACAAAGAGAAATTTATTCTCTCACAGTCTAGTAGGCTACAAGTCCAAATTCAGGGTGTCAGCTCCAGGTGAAGGCTCTCTCTCTCTCTGTCAGCTCTGGGAGAAGGTCCTTGTCATCAATCTTCCCCTTGTTGAGGAGCTTCTCCGCACAGGAACCCTGGGTCCAAAGGATGCACTCTGCTCTCGGTGCTGCTTTCTTGGTGGTATGAGGTCCCCATAACTCTCTGCTCACTTCCCTCTTTTAAATTTCAAAAGAGATTGGTTTAAAATACAATCTAATCTTGCAGATTGAGTCCTGCCTCATTAACATAACTGCTGCTAATCTCATCTCATCAAACCATAGAGAGAGGATTTACAACACAAAGGAAAATCACATCAGATGACAAAATGGTGGACAATTATACAATATTGGGAATCATGGCCTAGCCATGTTGACAGATATTTTTGCGGGACACAATTCAGTCCATGACACAAGCCATTAACCCATTGCCGTCAAGTCGATTG